GGGACAGGGCAGCCTCCCACTGCAAGGTAGTGGGCCCACCCAAGTAGGGCTGTGGACTTGGAGTTGACCTTGACCTCTACCTGCCAGGAGAGCTGCAGCTTGAGCCCAGGCCTTTGGGAGGACACTGGGATTGTCCTCCCCGCTAGGGGGTGGCCTCTAAGCCCAAAGAAAAGGAGGCAAGGCTCCAGCCTCTGTCCCACAGCCCTGACCATGCACTAGTTGAATGCCCTTGGGTAAGTCAGTATCTGTGAGCCTCGGTTTCTTTACCTATAAAGTGGGAACAAGATCTTTAATATCTGGCTTTGCTGAGGTGCAGTCAGAGGGTGCATGTGCTGAGGCTTTCCAGCCCGGGAGAGCCCAGAAGGGCTCAAAAAGGCTAGCGGATGTTACTCTTTCTGGGTAAATGCCATATTTCCTGTATAGTCTCTACACAACCATGTTAAAAAGCCACTCTTGGGGCCAGTGCTGTGGTATAGCAGGTAAAGCTGCCATTTGTGATGCCAGCATTCTTTATGGGCACCAGTTCCAGTCATGGCTGACCCAGTTCTGATCCAGTTCATGTTAATGTGCCTGGAAAAGCAACAGAAGATGGCCCAGGTACACAGAACCCTGTACCCATATGGACGACCTGGACAAAACTCCTGGCTTCAGCCTGGCCCAGTCCTGGCCACTGCACCATTTTAGGTAGTAGACCACGGTTGCAAGAGCTGCCTCTTCTTTCTCCCTCTGGGATTGCACCTTTCAAATAACTAAATGCATCTTAAAACAATCCACTTTCTGAGCCAGGGTGAGGTAGTCATCCATCAGTGGCCATGTTAGGGCAGGGGCTCTCTGGCCCCTCCCTCCCTGGGGCCACACTCGTGTAGCCACTGCCCTGCCACCCTCCCCTACCAGCTTTTCTAGTTACACATGCTGATCCCTGGAATACTTGCCCCTGCTTCTACCCTAAGTGACTTTTCTCCATCTAAAGAGGGGTTTACCCCACATTCCAGCTGCCTGCCACCCCACCCATCACCAAGCACTGGGCCAGCTGCTGGACCCCTTCAGGGCAGTGGTTTGTCTCTATCCTGTGTGTGTGGTGATGTGGGGAGGAAGGGGATGCCTGTGTTTCCTGCTCCAGGCCTGGGACAGTTAAGTGCAGTGTGCTGGAGGCAGAGAGCAGGAACCATTCCGAGGCCTCCTCCAGCTCTGCTGTGAGGGGCACCCACCATTCACTATGAGGGAATCACCAAGCCCACACAGAGTCAGTGGCAGACAGCTGCTGGAATTAAGCACATCTGGGCAGCTGCTGGGCACAGGGGTTATACAGCACTTGGGATGCTTGCACAAGCACTTGGGATGCTTGCACAAGCAAATAGCAAAGTACCTGGTTCAAGTCCTGGCTATTCTACTTCTGATCCAACTCCTGCTCATGTGCACATGGGGAGGCAATAGGAGATGGCTCAGTTACTTGGGTCCCTACCACCCATAACCCAGATCGAATTTCTAGCTCCTGGCTTCAGTTCTGGTCATTATAACCATTTGGGGAATGAACCAGCAAACAGAAGATCTCTTTCTTTTTTAAAAAGAAAAGCAAGTAAGAAAATTATAAAAAGAGTTTTGCATAGGTGACTATAGCAGGTACTCAATTCCTGTTTGCAGAGTGGATGAACCAGGCTGTTGGATTCATACAAGAAATCGTACAGAGGTAAGAAATCGCAGAAATCTTAAATAGAAACTGGCAAGGAGCTGATATTATTTGCATATCCTGCCTCCCCCCATGGCCAAGACTAACATGCCAAGGCCAGCTGACTCACCAGGGAGGTGGGGCTTCCACGTGGTCAGAGTGCCTGAGACAGGAGGTCGAAGAGGCCCACGTGTTTATGTGCTCACGTGCCTGCCTCTTGGGGTCTGTGCCCCGCAGCTGGCCTACCTTCTAGGACCCACGGCACAGTGAACACAAATCACAATGCAATTTGAGTTTCCCAGGCCCCATCCCAGAGTTCATGGCTGTGCCTTAAATGGAATTGTGAAGCTTTGAAATGTTTGTTGGAGCACACTTAGATAACAGGCTGATGGAATTATAACTCCTTATGAAGGAATATATTATCACAACAATATGGGGAAAATCAGTCAGGGTGGTGGGAATTAGGTGGGGGGGATCCCAGACTCTATAGAATTGTATCATAAAATTCAAAATTAAAAGAAAAAAAAAAAGGAAGCAATAGCAATAGAGTTGGGGGCATAAGAACAGCTCCCTGCAGGCGGCCATCACAGCACCTGCTCACCAGCCATAGTAGCTGACCTCAGGGTCCAATGAGGGTGCTGCAAAAAGTTCATGGACAGTGGAATTAAAAGACAAGTGCCAAAGAAGGAAAGAAATCCACACACAGCTTTGATGATACACATTTGTACGTGCATATTCTCTACATAATTCACACTCCACATGAGGCGCCTACTCGGAAGCTGGCAGAGCCTTAGATCACCAAAGGCAAAGAAACTGCACCCCATTCCAGCCCTGAGATGGCTGGAGTTTTGGTTTTGACCCTTGCAGGGTATTTGGTAAGGCTTAGGTCGGGGTGAATGTACAGTCGCAAACACCAGCAGCCTCACGGTGCCTTTCCTGAGGAGCAAGACGGCCAGACGCATCGACCACACTGCTTGGGATCCCAGCCATCTTATGAGGGAAGGTCACCTGCCCACCCTGCCTTCCTCCAACCATCCCTTTCTTCCTCTGAACCTCGCCAGTGAAAGCCCCATGCCTGCCATGTGGTTGGCAGAGCATGGATGCCCAGAACGCTGGCCAACCAGTAAGAAAGTGCCCTTGCCTCATGCAGCTGCAAGAAGGCCCTGGGTCACACACAAGAGGCTCAGGGACGGGGGGAGCCAGCTCTCTGCAGCCCCAGGGTTTGCCATTTTCCCCATACCACGCCCTATGGAACGCTTGCAGCCGGCTCCTTAGGTCCCAGCCAGGGCCTGGTCAGTCAACCTGGTCATCTCACTTGGCCCTTGCCACCACTGATGAGGTCATCTGACTGCCATCCTCTTCGGGTGACCGAGGACCCTGAGGCCCAGGGACACCATCGGTGCCTGACCGAGGACAAGCTTGACTGCTAACCCTCCTACCCCTGGCATGGTGACTCCCTAAATGTGCCCTGTCTCAGTCCCTGCTTACTTGTTGGCATGGACACAGAGCTGCCTCTTCCCCCAGGGGGACCGAGTGTGCTGTGCAAGCCATTGCTCTCCCTGGCTGCCAGCACCTGGTTGGGCCATTGGGTGAGCCAAGGGCACATCCCAGAGCTGCTGTGAGAGACCAGGACGATTGAGCAAGGAGGCAGGGCTGGGCTCCTTTGTCACCTGTGGTTAGATGTTAGTCCCTTGATCTCAGACTTGCCAGTGTCCACAACTGTCAGAAACAAATCACTGAGCCTGCGATTCTCACACCTGTCCAGGCGACATCCACGCCCTCCACTACCAAGGCGCTTCCCTGGGCCCAGAGTCCTCCTGGACTTCCTCCTGGCTCCTTCCTGCCTCTTGAGCTTCTGTTCTTACTCCTGCTGGTGGGATTCAGGTAGGAGCTGTGAGATCCGCCCTAGGCCCACGGTGTGGCGCATGCTGGGCATTTCATTGGCAGTTGTGTGTTCCCACTCCCTGAGTGGCCATCAGAATAAGCTTCACAGACCTTTGTGCCAAAACTTCTCCCCAGTTCTGGGGCTTTAAGAAGCCATATGTGTGAGGATGCGGGATCCCAGGCAGCATGGAGGGGCTGGGCAGGTGCTCCTGAGGCAGCCTATGGTAGGGTTCGATGGAAAATGTCCTAGGTTGTATGGGTCGGGGGGACCCCCCTATCCCCTAAAGACACACTAATGTCCCAGAAGTTGCAGATGGAAAGGGTCTTTGTAGACGGAGTCAAATGAAAGATCTCTAGGTGAGATTGCCCTGGCCAAGTGTCCTGCTAGGACACACGGAGGACAGGAAATGAACAAGACAACTGCTGTGGGAAGAGAGCCAGGGTGCCAAGCAGCACAGGCTGGAAAGGGCACAGAGCACTGAGAGCCAGCCCTGCAGGCACTGTGGGTTCTGACTTGGGACCCTCAGTGCTTGAAGAGAAGACATGTCTCCAGTTTTTTAAGTCATGAAGCCATGGGATGCTGACATGGGCGGAATAACGCCCTGCCATGTACGAAGCAACCACGGGTAGGTTGCCTGACTTATTTCTTTGGTGTCTAAGACCTGCATTGATTCCTTAGACCACATTCATCAAGTGTGTGCTGTGTGTCAGGTGCCAGGCCAGGCCCTGGAAGGAAAACACGTCACACACAGAGCCTGCTCTCTGGTGGGGAAGTCAGCATCAGGCAGACTCACACAGCAGGTGCAGCTGAAGCTGTGGTCAGCATGGGGGGTGGGCTGGGAGGGCTTCCCAGGAGAGTCACAGCTGTGTTCTCAGTGAGGGAAACTGAGCTGGGGAGTGGGCATGGGGAGGCAGGTGCTTCCCAGGATGCTGGCGCCACAGTGCAGACAGCACAGCGTGCCAGGGGCAGACAGCATGAGTCATGGTGAGGGGCACAGCTGTACTGGGAGATGAGGGTAGACGGGGCTGGGGCCAACTCCCCAGGACCTCAAGCACCATGTCAGAGCAGCCGGTCTTTCTCCCGAATGCTACTGGAGCCCCTGCTACAAGGGGCAGGGGGAGGAGGGGAAGGGAGCAGAGGGAGTGGGTGTCACCCAGGAGTGGGTGACAGCGGCTTGGACAGAGGTGTTTACGGAGAGACGTAGAGAAGCTGGAGGAGAGATAGGCAGCAGGTGCTGGCAGGGCCACCATGCGGAGGAAATGAATGGATGCCACATGCTGCTCAGCACAAACGAAGTGCTCACCAGCTCACCAGCTCACCTGTGGCCGGGATCCCTCTTCATCCTTGACCCAAGAGGCTGCAGGGGACTGGGCCCCCAGCTTCCCTGGTAGCGTGAGTGTGAGGGGCAGGAAGGGGTGCTCACCATCTAGAGCTTGGAAATCAACTCACCATCCTTGAGGGAGAAGCTCAGCAGGTCCTGAGGGCGGGAGAAACAAGCATCAGTGCCAGGCGACATGCTGCCACGCTGCAGCCCTGCTCCCACACCGTTCCCTCACTCCCCCGGCATGGAGAGCATGCCAGAGGACTCTGGGCTTTCCTATTCTGGGCAGGAGCCAGGGAACGAGCAAGTAAGCAACATGCGAGCGCTCCAGGTGGTGGGAGGAAGGAGGGAAGGGGCTTTCAAATCTTCACCCTTGGCCCCAGCACAGCCCAGGCCACAAGCTTCTGCAGCTTCAATGGCCCACAGAGTAGGTGAAGGACAGGTCCAAGGGCACAGGTAAAGGTGGCACCTCAAGCTCCGGGGTCAGAGTGCCAAAGTTCTAATCCTGGCTCAGCCACTTACTGGCTGTGTGACCGTGGCAAGTCACGAGACCTCTCTGTAACGAGCGGGATGAGGCTGAGCATCCCCGACCTGAGAATCTGAAATGGTCCCCAACCTGAAACTCACTGCCAACATGAGTCTGAAAGTGGAAAATTCCAGAGCATCAAACCTTGTTTCATGTACCAAATAAGTACAAATATTGTGTACTGGGGCTGGAATCTTGGCATAGTGGATTAAGTCGTGGCCTGTGATGCCAGAATCTCATACTGGAGAGCTGGAGTCTTGGTTAGTTGGCCTCTGACTCAGCTCCCTGTTCATGTGCCTGGGAAGGCAGTAGAAGGTTGCTTGGGTCCCAGCCACCCACATGGAGGCCTGGGTGGGGCTCCAGGCTCCTGGCCTCAGCCCTGGCCATTGGGAGTGAAGATCTCTTTCTCCAACTCTCTTTATTGTTCTGCCTTTTAATTTGTGCAATAGTACCTGTAGGCTATGTCTGTAAGATATACACAGGGACTAGCACTATGGCATAGCAGGAAAAGCTGCTGGTGGTGATGCTGACATTCCATACGGGCACCTGCTCAAGCCTGCCTGCTCCACTTGCCATCCAGCTCTCTACTAGTGCGCCTGGGAGAAGCAGTGAATGGCCCAGGTGCTCGGGCCCCTGCACTCGTATTGGAGACCTGGATGGAGTTCCTGGCTCCTGGTGTTAGCCTGGCCCAACTTGGGCTGTTGTGAACATCTGGGGAGTGAACCAGTAAATGAAAAAAAAAACCACAAACATCCCCCAAACAAACAAAAAAGATGCATACAGACATGAATTCTGTATGGAGACTTGGGTCTTATCCCCAAGGCACCTCACTACGCATATGCAAATAACCCCAAACAAAACAAAACAAAACAAAATCCACCCAAATCTCAAACTCTTCTGATCCCCAGGACTTTGGATATGGGATCCTCCACCTGTAGTTCCTGTTTTTGTGAATGACCTGTGTTAACTTCTGCACAGGTGTGCCAACACAGGGAGCATCATCAGCATCCTAAGTGTAGAATGAATATTCATAATGCTAATCTATCATCAGTTAAGAGCATATGATCATATCATGACATTCTCACTGGGCTAGAATTGACCTTCAGACTGGTTTTGAATGGAAACTCTTTGTTCTACATCCCCAGCAGCTGCCACTCACGTGTCAGGTGTACCTGGGTGATCAGCGACGGGTCGCCCTTCAAGACGGGGTCCTTTGACAAGATCTGAGCAAACATCTCCACTCCTTCACCTCCCAGGCCAGCAGCAAACGCAGTCATGGTGGGCAACACAGCCTCGGACAACTCCAGCCACTTCACCAGGCCTGCCACAAATTCCTCACAGAATGAGCTGCAAGACAGACATGGCTCAGATCTGGGGGTTGCTTGCGGTGTGCTGACGACAAGGCCACAGGACGCTCGGCTGCAGCTGGTCCTGGCTGTGGGCAGCCAGTGGCACACGCTGCCCTCAGTGGCTGAGACTCCCAAAATGCACACATGTCAACAGTGCCACTGCAGACGAAAGTGATGTTGGCTTCTCCCATCAGAACTTTACCCAAGGAGGCTGATGAGTCAAGGCAGGTGGGCAAGCAGGTATACTCATCCCTGGCCTGGGATCAGGCTCTGCTGGGAGCTGAGGGGGCTCATGGCAGGACAGAGATGCTCCCGTGACTCAAGCATCTGATGCCCTGAGCAGTTCAAAGAGGCAGCCCTCAAGGGAACCTGTGGATGTGAAAAGGTACCCCAGGGGAAGCAGTGGGGTACTCTTGGAAGTCACCAAGGATGCGCTTGCCAGAAAAATATCACCCCCTGTGGAAGGGGAAAAATGTGCAGGAAGTGGGCCCTCCCATAGGAGTCTCCACCTAGGGCAGCATTTGAATCGAGCCCTACGGGAGCCCGGGGGGAGGGGATGGGGCTGCTCTGGGGCAGCTGAGACACAGGCAGGAGTGTGGGCACCTGGGGTGCGGGGCAGTCTCTTAGGCTTCTGCTGCAGAGCCTGCTGGCGGGGGCTGGGTGGTGGATGCAGGGACTGTGGGATAGCGGAGGGAAGCAGGAGAGGACCACAGCCAGAGGAAAAGGTTGGCACCTAGAAGGCCCACTCAGCCCCAGCACTGCCCTAGGACCCCAGCCGCAGGTGCTGCACCCTCGGGGGGACTGTGATGACAGCAGCAGTGGACTGAGGCCTCCCACCGACAAGCGGAGCTCAGCAGTGAGGGGCAGGGAGCAGTAACCTCAGGAAGCCCACCTGTCCCGTTCCTCAGACCTTGCCCGCCAAGTACAAAGACATCTGAGACAAGAGCCATGGACAGGAGGGTGAAGATCTCCTGCTTTCACCTCGTCATGCTTGGGAGGCTGGCAAGCTTCCCTGACCTGGACCAATGCCTGTGGGAGGGAGGGTGTCAGCAGGCCTTGTAGGCAGGAGCACCTCTGAGCCGCAATGCGGGTGCTGCAGGAGTTCTGAAAGTGGGATGACCCTTCAGGGGTAAGAGGGCCATCAATTTAAAGATTTATTTGTTTTTTTTTTTAAGATTTATTTATTTTTTTATTACAAAGTCAGATATACAGAGAAGAGGAGAGACAGAGAGGAAGATCTTCTGTCCGATGATTCACTCCCCAAGTGGCACAACGGCCGATGCTATGCCGATCTGAAGCCAGGATCCAGGAACTTCTTCCGGGTATCCCACACGGGTGCAGGGTCCCAAGGCTTTGGGCAGTCCTCGACTGCTTCCCGGGCCACAAACAGGGAGCTGGATGGGAAGTGGAGCTGCCGGGATTAGAACCGGTACCCATATGGGATCATGGTGCATTCAAGGCGAGGACTTTAGCTGTTAGGCCACGCTGCCGGGCCCAAGATTTATTTGTTTATCTGAAAGGCAGAGTGACAGATCACTCCCCAGACATCTGCAGTAGCCAGGAGCTGGGAACTCCATTTGGGTCTCCTTGAGGGTGCAGGGACCCAAGGACGTGGCTTATTCTCCACTGCCTTTCAGGCACATTAGCAGAGCGCTGTATCAGAAGTGGAGCAGTGGCTGGTGTTAAAGATTCAGAAGCTTCCACCTACAATACCAGCATCCCGTATGAGAGCCAGTTAAAGTCCTGGCTGTTCCATTTCTGATCCAGCTTCCTGCTGATGCACCTGGGAAAGCACAGAAAGAGGGTTCACGTGTTTGGGCTCCTGGCACCCCAAGTGGGAGACCTGGAGAAAACTCCTGGCTTCTGGCTTTGGTCTGGTCCAACCCCAGCCGTTGTGCCCATTTAGGGAGTAAAACAGCTGAGGGAAGATATTTCTTTCTGTCTCTCCCTGTCTTTGTAACTCTGCCTTTCAAACAAACATGATCTTCAAAAGCAAAAACAAAAACAAAAAACCATGGAGTAGCTGGGACTTGAACTAGCAGTGCTCTGATACAGGATGTTGGCATGGCATGCATGCAATGGCTTAACCCACTGTGCCACCACACACAGTCCCTCCAATTGTCCAGCCATTCACTGGACACAGGTGGCCAGGAAGGGGAAAGAATCTTAGGGCCATGGCTCTCCATCGCCCAGGTGGATGCCCAGTGTGATGGACAGCTGGTTGCCCACCTTTACTCCTGGGAAAGCAGTTTGATCTTTTTGTACCTCAGCCTCTGTTGTTAAAACAAAGTTTAAGAGGTTAGCACCATGAAGCCAGATGAGGACAAAACATGAGCATACTGGAGGTGCCCAGAGTTGGTTTGCTGTGTAGCAGATGCCCGGCTAGAGTTGGCTGCTTTGTTTTTATGTACAAGGTGACTTGGATGGGCATTGGGGGACCGTGAGCAGCCTGGAGATATCCTGGCTCTGTCCTCCCTGCCCCAGCTCTCTGGAACCCATCTTCCTGAGCTGCCGGCACAGATTGCAGCGTAATCTGCCTTGTAGGTTAACTGTGGAAACGAAATGACTCGGTATCTGCCCAGTGTGGGCAGACCTTCAGTCATGCTGGCTGATGCTGGCACAGTTAGCATCATTCACCCTGTGGCTGTTTCCTGGGGTGACTTCACTCGGGCAAGTGGGCGTGTGGGTGTGTACAGGGGAGGGGCTGGCCAGCTGAACCGAACAGAACTAAGAAAGGACTCAGGGCCAAGGGCGGCAGTGTGGCCGGCCCTGCTGGCCATGAGGAAGTCTGGCATGTAGACAAGCATCTCACGACAACAGCAGCACAGGGGGCAAGGGCCTGGACCCAGGGTCACACTGCAGCCCCTCCCCCAGCTGTGGGAGCCCGGGCAAGCTGTCTCGTTCCTTGTGACTGTTTTTCTGTGACATGGTGCCAAGGACAGTAATGGCACCTGTTTGCCAGGTTGCTGGAAGGATTTTCTAAGTTAATATTTGTCCTGTGAGTGGACCAATACCTAGTGTATCCAGGTCAGCAGCTGCACTTTTGTCCACAGCTGAATGAATGAGTGAACAGGCTGCCGAGTGCCCGTGTGGCACTGTCAGGAGCAGCACATTGGACTGGCCTGGCCTTGGGATCACAAAATCCGACAGCACAAACCACCAGTGCACAGCAACACCTGCTATCCACGTGTCCATGTCCACTGGTTTGTCCAATTCCCTCTACAACCCATGAGAAGAAGGTACCATTTTATCCTCATTCTCGAGGTAAGTTCAGAGTCAGAGAGGTGAGGTGATAGCACCAGGTTCAAGTCCATGTGTCTCTAGGACTCTGGGGGCTGTGCCTGCTGGCCTCCTCCAGGGACTGCACGGCTGGGCATCATCAGGAGCGGCTCACCTGTGAGCGGGGTCACCACACATCCCATTCATCCTCCTGCACCTTGCAAATGGGCTGCAGAGGTCAAAGGTCGTTCCAGGACTGAATGGCATTGTGGTACAGTGCATGAAGCTGCTGCTTGCAGCACCAGCACCCCACGTCAGAGCATGGATTCACGTCCCAGCTGCTCCACTTCTGACCCAGCTCCCTGGTAAAACCCCTGCCATGCACATGAGATACAAAGATGGAATTCTTGGCTACCGGGTTTGGCCTGGCTCAGCATGGACATTGTGGGCATTCGGGGAGCGAACCAGCAGACGGAAGAGGTCTCTCACTTTCTCTCGATTGTTCCACTTAAAGATTTTAAGTAAATCTTACAAAAAAATGCACTGAACCTACTTCACTTCCTTCATCTCACACTTAGCCACACTGCACTGTGTCCCCTCTTGATCACAGGTGCCTGGGAGCTGTACTCACGGCCACTGCCCAGCACCATGAGGGTGAAAGGTCACATGGCACTCCCCCAGGAAAACATCAACATTCAAAATCTGCAGTATTCTCCTGACTGGACGCAAAGCCAAACGCTTGTTACGCAGAGCTGCTCTGCACCTGACAGCGGCGGGATGTGCAGGGACCAGAGCAGCAACTCACCTGCCCCTGTGGCTTCCTGGGTGAGGGCCCACAAATGCTTGTGTCTGGAAACAAGTGTACAGAACTCTTCCCCGGCATGTACCAGTTTATCAAATGGGCTTAACAGGGCAGGGGAAGCTTCCAGAAAGATGGAGACTTCCCAGGTGCAGCATGGGTGTGGGTCATTCAGAAGGCAGAGAGCACTGCTTGCTTGGGGAGCAGAGCTGAGATCTTTCCAATCTCCACACAGAGAACGGGCTCCTCGCTAATTCCGAGACCACAGGTGTGCCCTGGGCAAGAGCTGTGTGCCAGGTCCTGCCAAGTCAGTGACACCTACCCTGTTCATGGCCGCTCTCCATTGTCTCCACTGCACACACCCTGCGCAGGTGCCCCGGCCCCTTCTAGTAACCAGCCAATACCTTTGTTGGCACCCATGTACTCACCCTGCCCCCCTCCGCCTTTAGCTCCCTGGCTGCTGAGGCTTGGGCATACGACTGACCCAGACAAGGACACAACAGGAAGCCATCCTGGGGTCCTCTGGGAAGCATGAATGAGGGACTTCCTTCCTCCACGCCTCCCTTGGCCTTTGTCCAGTGAAGTGTAACGTGTAGAGTCACAGCAGCTACTCTGCGATCGGGGGAGGAAAGAGGAGGAACTAAACTAGACTCAGTTTACTGAGGAACCAAACTACCCCTGCAGCTATCCACCTTCGAGTTTTATTCAGTGGAAAACACAAGTCTCTTGTTTAGTCTCATGTGCTGCTGTCACTCTTTCAAGGGGAAAAACAAAATGTCCAAACAGGTGGGACTCAAGGCATAAGGGGGAATCACTGAGCGTGTGGGCGTGTGTGTGTGTGTGTGTGTGTGTGCGTGTGTGTGGTGGGGGGAGCAGGTCCTGAAAGCACTGCAGGTACAAGAACTTCTCATCACCTCCTGTCCCTGGACCTGCTGCTCCCTGCCCGAGCAATGACTTCTGTCCTATGCGCCACTGCCATCTGAGCCACTGCAGGCACAGGCGGCCCCTGCATCGGCCTACCCAACATTGGAGCCACTCCCAAGTCAGCTGCATTTTCCTCCTGCTCTTTTTTTTTTCAGTGTTTAAGATGTATTTGTAAAGATGTACCTGTCTGTTGCTACAAACAGCTGGGGTTGGTGGGGAGGGCCACACCTGGATGCTAGTGCCCTGAGGACGGGAACCACCAGGTCCTGCTTCTGTCTCCTTCCTAGGGCCATGCACTACACCCAGCACACAGCAGGTGTTTAACAGAGGCATGGTTCATGGATGGACAGAATGTCCTAGACTGTGTCCTACTGAGGGAAGGGAAGGCGTCTGCCTTTCGCAGGGTTCACTTAGGCCCTCCAGGCCCTCCACGCCTGGCACACAGGAGGGAGGTGCTCAAACAGTGACTAGTGAAGCTCTGAGTGGATAACCGAGCAAGGGATTCAGAGCTCCACAAGACAAGGCCATTTCTTGCTCCTCCGGGCTGCCCTGTGGCTCCTGGCAGACAGCTGGACTGTCGGTCATCGCCTCCCGCAAGGAGCTTGACCTGTTTCCGGGAGACCCAAGGACTCACCTTTGCTCGGGTTCTGGAAATAGCTGAGACAGGGAGATGCTGCAGAGCGCAGCGTAGGCGAAGCGGTTGGCCTCGGTCAGCTCCCGGCCCGTGGGCACGTGGGGCTCCCCCTGTGCCTCTGACTCAGTGACCCGAGGCAGCCTCTGGCTTGGCCTGTCCCTTGTGGCCATTCCCAGTCCTGCAAGAAAAACATCCCAGTGAGAAATGCTTCCAGGGCAGCGTGAGCATTACTTAAACCAGGCAAAAACCAGAGGCCGCAAAAGACTGACCATGAGGCAAACAAGGATTGCCATCTCCTCCTTCAGGAAGGTGACCCACACCTTACAGCGTGGCGGGGGAGAGGTCTCGCACCCCACATCAGAGCACCTGCTCGAGTCCTGAGTGTTCTGTTTTCTACCCGGCTCCCTGATAATGTGCCTGAGAAAACAGTGCAAGATGGCCTGAGTACTTGGGTCCCTGCCACCCATGTGGGAGAGTCGAACGGAGTTCCTAGCTCCTGGCTTTGGCCTGGTCCAGTTACGGCTGCTGCTGCCATTTGGGAAATGAACCAGCAGGTAGAAGAGCTCTCTCTTTCTCTTTCCCACTCTCTCACTTTTTCACATAAACAAAAATAACTCCCCTTTCCCCCTTTTTTTTTAAAGTATACAAGGGGAATGTGTAAACACTGCCCCAGTTTGTATGAGAGTCATGAGTGTCTGCAGATTTTGGTATCGGGGGTCCCGGGACGCATCCCCTGTGGGTGTCAATGGATGACCATAGTCCCAAGGGGGAAACGACCCACGTGTCCACCACAGAAGACTGGAAAAACTGTCCCATTTAATACTATGGAACATTACACAGCCATTAAAAATAATGACTAGCCATTACCACATGTATGCATCTCCCAGACAAAATAAAACAAAGAAGGAGCAGTATTCCATTTGTCTGAGGTTTAAAAACAAGTAGAACTGAGATGGTGACAGAAGTTACAAGAGAGGTTACCTACGGGAGGGAAGAATGACTTGCAGGGGCATAAGGAAAGCTGAGTGGAAGGGTTTTCCATCTTGACCTGGGCTCCCACTGGTGAGAGCGGGAATGAGTGCGCACAGGCCCAGAGGCCCCGAGGGGTGGAACAGTTCACAAAGACACCTGCTCAAGACCTGTGCACTCGGGGAATGCTGTACCCTGTGCAAAGGAGGAGGGAAGGGGAGGACGGGGGAGGGAGGAGTGGGAGCCAGGGAGAGCTTCTCCTCTGCTTTCCCTTCCTTCTTTTCATTCTTTGCTTCAAATTTTTTTTTCTAAATTTTAAAGTTTCTTTTTAATATTGTTTACATAGTTGAGAGGGATACACGCCCATGTGGGTCTCCAGGTAGGGTGGGGAGGGTTGATGTGTGGAGGAAGGTGGTTGGGACCTGTTTTTTTTTTTTTTCCTGTTTTGCAGAGGGGGAAAGGGGAGGGGGCCGCTCCTTGCTGTCAAGCTACGTTAGCATTCAGGGACCATCAGCTGATGATGTCTTAGAGATCCTGATGTGGGGAAGAATGTTTGGAAGGTGTTACTTGACTGGCCTTGACATTGTTGCTTCGTAGCACAGGTCTTTCCAAGGTCTGTTGGCTGACCAAAGCCTCCTTAGTGAATGCACAGAACCAGACTCTTGCTGTAAAGCTTGGCCAGGAGAGTTGTCCAACCTGCTCTGCTTTCCATCCTCTGACAAGGCACTCAGTGTCCTCTGCTAGCCTAGATGAGCTGGCTGTCATGTCCCCTGTGTGCACCTGGGCATGCTGACTACCTCTCAAGCATAAGTAACTGAGGAGGTCTAGTCCTGATATATGCAGTTAAGGTCAGACCACACATCTTGTGACTTTCCTTGTGGCCAGGGTCTCAGTCCAGCGGTCCAGTGAGGAAGTCCCCAAGAAACCAAGCCTGGGGTGACCTCAGATTTGACTCTTGTGTGAGCCAGCCAGTGCAGGGTCAGGTATGGTCTGTCACCTGCACCAGCCAGTGAACATAGTAGTAGGTGCAGCGGCCTGGTCAGTTCAGCCTGCCACAGGCCCTGTTTTCATGCATACCAGCAAATGCCATGGCCTAGTCAGGGTAACCCAATAATACCCACCAAGGCTGTCCCCGGCTCCAGTTTTTGAATGTGCTGTGGCCTAACCTGTCCTATCCCACATTTCATCTGGCTCTCAAGCACACCCATGGACACTACACCTTAGATCAACCTGCCCTGCTCCCAGACCTGGCCCACACATATGCCAATGGGTGATGCCACCTTGACCAACCTGGTCTACCCCCATCATTGGCTTTTGTGCTCACCAGTGGAAGCTGTGTTCTAGAGGAATTCTTAAAGTTCCCCAACTAGCTCACTCCCAGCTCAGGATCTTGCAGGTGCTTGCCTGACTGGTCCGCACCCACTCCAGCTCTCACCAGTGGATGCTACAGCCTAGCATAGCCTGGCCCACCTCTGAACCTGGCTCTTATGTGAGCCAATAGGTGCTATAGCCTAACCTGTCTTGTCCCATGTACACATTCTGGCTCTTGTGAGCACCAGCAGTGCTGGAGCCTAGCCCGGTCTGACCCAGTCCCAGAACCAGCCCACAAATATGCTGTTGGGTGCTGTAGCCTTGTCCAGCCTGGTCTGCCCACAGTCCCAGTTCTCATGCTCACTAGAGGGAGCTGCAGCCTAGCAGCCAAGTCCCCAAAGTCCCCCTACCAGGCCCATTTCCAGCCCTGGATCTTGCATGTGCTAGCAGCTGCTTCAAACCAACCTGGCTGTGGCCCACTTACAGTCACAGCTCTCACTGGCAGGTGTTGAACCCTAACTCAGTCCAGTGCGACCCATTCGTGCATGCCAGTGGGTGCTGTGGCCTGGCCCCTGACCTTGCCCACACATGCCAACAGTACTGTAGTCCAGGCTGGCCTGGCCCACCCCCAGCCCTGGCTCTTGCCCTCCCCAGTGGGAGCTGTGGCCTAACAGTAGACTTCCCCAAATTCCATTACCAAGCCCAGGGTCTCTTGTGTGCCTATGGATATTGAGACCCTGCTTGGCATGGTCTTTCCTCAGTCCCTGCATATGCCTGCCTGGCTCTGCAGTGTCAGGTGGGATCCTGTCAGGCGAGTTTTGTGGTCCAGTCTGGCTCAGCTCATCACTGCCCCAGCTCTCTGCTAAGCTGGTGCTGCAGTCCTACAAGAGGTGAAGCTACAAATCACCTATACAGTAGCCCCCAAATACGGTTCTCTCATGTTTTGTTGGCTGCTGCAGCCCAGCTTGAAGTGGTCTACTCCCTGCCCTGACACAGGTGGGTACTGTGGCCTAGCCCAGTCAGGTATGCCCCGAGTCCCAGCTTCTGCATACATTGGTGGGCAGTGCACAAAGCTACTCAGCCCAGCCCAGGTCTCCCACATGGATGGGTATCTTGACTCAGACATGCCCTCTGGTTTCCCCATGTTCTCAGTTTGCCTGCCTACCTGCGAATGCAGTGGCCCAGTCTGTGAAAGTCCCCAGAAGTCATTCTTCCTGCATCAAACATGCCCTTGGCCACTCCCACTCTGACACATCCCCCTTCCCTGGGCAATCTGCAGCCACCTGTCTGGGGGCTGGAGTGGCATGGCCCAGCCTGGTGTTCCCCACTCTCCCTACCTATCTTTTTTTTTTTTTTTAAACAGGCAACTATGCTGGCACACTGGTATGGTTAACACACATTTGGCATTAACCAGGCCCAGAATGCCTGCCAGCTATTGGCTGCTTTTCTCCCAGCAGTGGAACACTTACCTAGGTACAAGGCAACCTAGGCAGTTGCCTACAGCTGGGGGTCTTCTCTTCCAATTGCAGAAAGGGAATGAGAGAAGAGAATAGCAGAGACAGAAGGAGGGAGAGGAGGGGAGGCAGGGAAGAGGGGAGAGGAGGAGAAAGAAGGAGAGGAGAGAAGAAGGGAAGGGACAGAGAAGGGGATACGAGACAGAGGGCCCAAAGCCAGAGCTCCTGACTACCACTTCTGCTTTAGATTCCTACCAGAACTTTCTAGTCTAATGACCACACTGCATACTGTGCTTGGCTCATACATTTATTCCCACTCAACTTTTCGCTCTGGGTTAAGCCCTTGTCAGCAACACCATCATCCCACATCGGAGCATGGATTCAAGGACTGCCAGTGAACGTGTCCCTGGGGAAGGCAGAAGATGGCCCAAGTGCCTGGACTCTAGCCATCCACATGGCCCAGGCCCAGCCAGTGGGCCATCTGAGGAGTAAACTAGTAGATGCAAGATCTCTCTCTCTCTCTGTAACTCTGACTTTTCAAGTAAAAGTAAATAAATCTTCAGAAAAAAATGTTTATTTTGTTCTGAAAACATGACTTATGTAGAGAAGCTATTTAAAGTTCACCTACAACTGATATGAGGGTGCTTCAAAAAAGTCTTGGAAAATGAAATGAAAAGATAAGTTTATTTTGGAAAAAAAAATTGAAATCCAAGTAGTTTTTATATGGCACGCAGAAAGATGGCAAAGATTTTAAAGCAGTTCTTTTTTTGCACCATAATAAGCTTATCTTTAGTTTCCATGAACTTTTTGAAATCCCCTTGTAATTCATTAACTCTCCAAATAACCCAGAAGCAGTTAAGAGCAACAAAGCACCTGACAGTTTGCAAAGCACTTTCTAGCCCAGTAAGTTCTCATCCCTTCCTGGGAAGGGCTAAGCCACGGAGAACAGGCAAGGTGAGGCCGACTGGAGGAGATGAGATCCAAAGCTGTGATGGGGTAGCTCTCTTCCCCACTACCCCATCACAGGCGTCTTCCTCGCCTGCTATGCAGAAGGAACTCAAGGGCCAGAGGACACGCTAAGACCTCGCTAAGACCATGCTAAGAGGCTCTGCCCAGACTCTGGTGGGGGAGCAGCTGCAGTCCTCAGGCCCTGCAGTTCCTCGTGCTGCATCCCCTGCATCAGCCACATGCAGGCTCTTGGGGGTGCCCAGGGCCGTTCCAGCTTGAGATACACTAGTTGCTCTGGTCACAGGTGGGAGCTGGCCTGCTTCAACCACAGGGCAGGGGGGTGCGTGCTTGGCTCCTATAAAGCTCAGCTCAAGCTGCTATCACACATTTGTCCCACTCAACAAACTCTCGGGGCTTTGCCTGACCCTACACTGCAGGCGCTGCAGCCTCTCGCTCACATGTCCCCAGTGCGTCACTCACCAGCATTGAGACCTCCAATGGATCAGAACACATCCTGGCCCCTGATGACAGCCCACGATGTCCTAGGCCATCCAGCCGTGCCTGTCTCTGCTCTCTGTCTCCCATGGCCATACACACCACCATACTGGCTGTCTTTCTGCTCTCAAATATGCATCCTGGTGGCCATGCCCAGCCTGCCAGCCTTTGTACCTGCCAACCCCCATGCCTGAAACATCTCTCTCCTAATCTTCACATCCTTCCAGCCTCATCCCAAGGGTCACCTCCTCCACGAGGCCTTTGCCGACTATCCAGGCTAAAGTTCCTCTGTGCCCCCCTCAGCCCCTCTATTTTTAGAATAGTTGGTCTAACTGAGATAAAATGCCTTGCTTATTGGCTTCCCCCATGTGCTCAGGTAAACCAATATGTTTCTGAAGGCAGGCCCTGGTGTTCCATCACTGCCATCCCCCTGGCTTGCTGCGCAGCCCCACTGCTGCGTGGAGAGACACTGTGCTGGTCGGATGAAGCAGAGTGCATGAGGCGGGCTGCCCTGATGCCCTGCTCTGGGCCTGGGGCTCATCAGAGGACACAACTGACACAGTGGGTAAAGCCGCTGCCAACAATGCTAGCATCTCCCACAGGCAAAAGTTGTGTCCTGTTGTAATTGTGATCTAGCCAGAGGTCTGGCTTCGGGCTCCACGTCCCAAACAGCCTGGCACACACAGAGACCAACACAGGATCCCTGGGGAGGACACGTTACACAGGGCGGGAAGGGTGACTGCTGTGTGTAAGAGGTGTCACCCCGGCGGAGGCTGGGGAAGGTCAGGGGACAGTCCTGCAGGCACACAGGAAAGAGTTCTGCAGTGGAGGAAACTCTGGCTTGGGGACAGGAGCATCAAGGACACACAGATCTTCCATGCACCCACAGGTTTATTCCTCAAATGCCTGTAACAGCTGGGGCTTGGCAAAGCTGAGCTCTCATTCCGGATCTCCCGGGTGGAGGCAGGGACCCAACTACGTGAGCCACTTGTGCTGCCCCAAAGCTGTGCATCAGCAGGGAGCTGCAACCACAGGCGGGGCCGTCCAATCCAGGCTACAGGCATCTTAACCGAGTCTTAATTGCTAGGCCAATGTCTACCCCCAGATTGATTTTTAATATTTCCTCATTTATTTGAAAAGTGCAGTGACAGAGAGGGAGATTTTACTCACTGGCTTATTCCCCAAAATGGCCTAGGGTGAGATGGGTGAGATGGGTGAGATGGGTGGAAGCCAAGAACCTGGACCTGCAGCTGGCCCGTCCCCCCTCCCCCCATGGCAGCAGGGACCCACGTACTTGGCCATCATGTGCTTTAGGCACATGAGCAGGAAGCTGGAAGCCAAGGTGCTGGCATGGGAACTGGCACTCCTATATGGGCGGCTTGACTGGCTGTACAACAGCACCTGCCACCTGCCCCTCCCCCACGCTCCCAGACATATTTTAAAGGCAACAGCCATGCTGAGAGCTGAGTGAAGCCACGTGGGATCTTCCTGTACTAGTTTCACAACTTCCTATGCCTATATCATTTAAAATATATATACTTTTTTTTTTTAAAACACAACATGTTAAGATGTCTCTATACAATGTTAACAATTCACTGCCTCTACAGAATCACTAGCTACGATTCTGACAAAATGCCAGGCTCCGTGCTACTTGCTGGGGACCCAGCTGTCACTCAGACTGACCGGTGGTCACCGCCCCCCACAACCCTCAACCAGGCGTCCAGACTCTGGCGTCCAGACTCTGCCAAGAAGGCTTAAGGAAAAGAAAGCTTAAACAACACTTACCTGATCTTAAGAAACAATTATGGGGCTCTCTGCTAAGTCAGAAGACCAGGAGACCAGCTTCCAGATGGTTCTTCAAAGAAATTTATAAATTGCTCTTGGGAAACAAACTGGAAAAACCAGCCAGTGGCTCCATAAGGTGTGGGACCTGGAGGACAAAGGGACAAAGGGAGCCCGTCAGGCTGGGGCGTGGGACACCAAGCCTAACTCTGGACAACCTCCCTCCAGTGGCCCCATTCTGCCAGTTCTCCTGCTGGGATGGGGGTGGGGTGCGCTCTCCGCAGGGCAGTAGGCAGTTACACGGACTACTGAGGCCTTACCACACGGCAGGTACAGCCCTGCACTACACACAGATGGTCTCATTTCCCCTTCTCTTCCATCTCCTTGTCCCCTGAGCTGTGGTGACTACGGTGGCTCCTGGGTTTGCCTGGACAACACAGGGGAGCCATGCTCTGTCACCCACTTCTGTATTCTGGCAAGCACCTGTCACAATGTAATGGATGCTCAGAAAATCGTGCCTCATGCACAAGGAACGAACTGGTGTTGAGGCTTATGTAAAAGTTCTCTGTTCATATTCAAGTGGCGCCCTGGTGGGGGAAGAGAGGCAGAGAAGTGGCCTCGACTGCTCTCCCAGGAAACAAGCAGAGAGCTCCATCCAGCTTCTTGCTTGTGGTCTGGGAGAGCAGTGGCAGACAGCCTGGGGATCCTGCACCTGCGTGGGAGACCCGGAAGAAGCTCCTGGTTCCTGGCTTCAGATTGGTTCAGCTCTGGCCATTGAGGCCACTTGACTTGGGGAGTGAATCAGTGGATGGAAGATCTTCCTCTCTGTCTCTCCTCCTCTCTGTATATCTGACTTTCTAATAAAAATTTTTTAAAAATTTAAAAAAAAGGTCCATGGATGCAGCTGGTGTTCTGGTGTGGTGCTGACATCACACATGGGTACTGGTCTGTGTTCTAGTTGTTCCACTTGTGATGCAGATCCCAGCTAATGAGCTGGGAAGCAGTGAGGAAGAGGGCCCATGTGTCCGGTCTCCCGCCAGCCATGTGAAGGACACTGACGGAGTTCCTGGCTTCTGGTTTTAGCCTGGCCCAGCCCTGCCTAGGGCAGCAAGTTGGGGAGTGAACCAGCAGACTTAAGTTTCTCTCTCTCTAACTCTGCCTTAAAGTAAACATGTTTTCCCACTTCCCTTCCCCTGTTCTGTCCTGGAAAACCATAAACAAAAACCAAACAGACTCACAGACTGTGCGGTGCCACACGTCAGGCCAGTGACCAAGCATGCGCAGCAGCAGGAGGCACTGGGTTTGTCCTACTTTTGGCATTTCCTATCACAAGTTATTGATATTTCTATTATGAGAAAAAAAAAACCTTAAATTAAAACTGCTTCTGCCTGTTGATTCTAACGGAAATAAGCCCACCTGAGACCACCACCCACTAAACAATGGACTCAGAGATGTAAAGGAAGCAGAAAGCGCAGTGTTTACTAATACCCATCTTTAGCGGTGACCAGCAGGTGGGAGCAGCCCCTCCCCTCAGCTATTCAGCTCCTTTTATGTCTATTACACAGGGGTCCCTTCTCCTGGGGTCTCAATATACACTGGACAAGCAAAAGAAGGGGTGCAGCGTGTTGCTGGGCAGGTAAGATGGGGACAGGGAGGCTGCATGTGGGGCTTGAGGAAAACAAAAAATGTTTCTCCAGTAAGGAATGTAAGAGCCCTGCAAGCCACCTTAAGAGCAGCCGGGTATTTTGCACTACGGAGTCCTGTCCACACTCCAGTTGCCTTGCAGGTGATCCAGCCTTCTCCAGCAAAGCCCCACCTCGGGGAACTGCTTCTGCCTAGTTCCAGGTGGGGCTCCCAGTCAGATAACACCGGGTAGTAAAGCCTTAGGAGGAACTTTATCTGATCCACACTCAGTAAATCCTTTGCCCGAAAGCCGCAGGGAGGGAAGGAGAACTGGCAGGAGGAAATTCTTAGAAATCCCTGTGTAAATATAAACTAGACACTCAGATTCTGCCCAGAGAAGGGCTCATCTGTGCCGATAGGCATCCTGCTCCATTAAACCTTGCTACTTCGCTTATCACCCCTCGTGTCTCATGTCTGGATTCTTCTTTGCCTGAAGACGAGAACCTATTGCACTCCTCTCCACGATGTGAGATCATCAGTTCATCTGCTTTGGGTTTTTTTCCATGCACTCCCTTTAGCAGCTGGGGGACAGGCTCTGGCATCACGGCTGTACTTAGGCCAAGCTAAGTTCTTAGGAAAATACATCAATGGGCCTGGCGTGCTGGCCTAGCAGCTAAAGTCCTTGCCTTGATCACATCAGGATCCCATATGGACTCCGGTTCTAATCCCAGCAGCCCCGCTTCCCATCCAGCTCCCTGCCTGTGGCCTGAGAAAGCAGTTGAGGACAGCCCAAAGCCTTGGGACCCTGGATCTGCATAAGAGACCCAGAAGAAGCTTCTGGCTCCTGGCTTTGGATTGGCTCAGTTCCGGCTGTTGAGCCACTTGGGGAGTGAATCATCGGACGGAAGATCTTCCTCTCTGTCTCTCCTCCTCTCTGTAGATCTGGCTTTGCAAGAAAAATAAATAAATCTTTAAAAAAGAAACAGAGAGAGAGAAAGAAAGAAAGGAAGCAAGCAAGCAAGCAAGAAAATACACCAGTGTGTCACTTCTAACAGATCCCTAGAAGGATAGTGTTTTATCTGTCACTCTGGTCCATGGGACCTCGCAAAGCCAGCTGGGCTGAGGTCACAGGGAAGTCCCATTCATTTGACTGATGTTTTAAATGTTTTCTCTTCATTTATTTGACACAGCACGTGCGCGAGAGAGATCTCTCCACTGGATCACTCCCCAAAAGCCTGCAATAGCCAGGGCAGGGCCAGGTCAAAGCCAGTGGCCTGGAACTCAATCCAGGTCTTCCATGTGGGCGGCAAGGACCCAACTACTTAAATCACTACCTGCCAGTGCACAAGATGCACATTGTAGAAGCTGGAATTGGGAGCAGGTGGTTGGACCCAGGCACTCCAATATGGGATGCAGGTGTCCCCACAAGTAGCCTGACCACTAGGTCATTCCTGTTCCTAACAGGTACTTCTGGTAACACAATGGAAAAGGGCTGGGGGTGACAAACAGAGGCAACTTTTAGCTCTTCACGACAGAGGGAGGGAGGAGCCCATAGTTCCAACTCCACAGTTCAATGGGCTGACCCCCAAACTGCTCCAATGAGCCACTGTGGTGGCAGATATGGGTTGGGGCATATGCCACCTGAGCTGTGTACAGTGGGTTCCAAGGGTCTCAGCCTGATTGGGGCTCAGGGTCCAGTGCAAAGCTGCTGTGGGATTTGAAGGTGTGTCTGAATAGCCGGACTGGACGGGAAGGTGTTAGGTTCCTGCAGTGAGAAGACCCTGTTGGTCAGGACCAGCCATGTTCTGACCCTGCGTCCATCTCCTGTGCACAGGGCTCCCTGAACAGAGGGAGGAGCTCCCAGTGCCCATCTAGGTTTGTGAAGACAACAAGAACCCCGAGAGAGGCCTTGACCTGTCAGGGAAACAGCACACACAGTGAGGACTACCAAGGCCGATCCATGCCCAGAGGGTGGTACACGCACCTGGGATGGACAGGGATTGTTCTGGAATGGGCCAGCATCTTGTCGCTCCATGATCAGACTTCTGTCTAGCCAGGAACATTATCCATTGGTGCAGGCCTGGTTATCAGTTGTGCGGGCAGAAACTGTTCCTCTAATATCGGAACGCAGTTACGCAGGCACCATCCAGGGAGTGGATGAAGAGCTGTGGACAAAGGTCAGACACATGGCAGTGGGATTACTTCCAGGGAAGATGAAAAACCCCAATGTCAGCACTGAGGAGGCAATTAAGGACATCTGGGTCATCCCTGAATGTCCTCTAAATGTCCGTGAACCTGCATGGCCTGGGCCTGCGGAAGGTCCCCTACAGGAATGAACTTCCTGTGTCTTTCTTCACATCCTAGCCAGCCGTGTCATTCTCAGGTCCCGGTGCAGTGTGCTATGAGTTTGCTTGTCTGTGTGTGGGAGGGCAGGCCAGGCCTTTCTTGGCCCCTTTCCTTTTTATGGTCATAGATTATTTAAAATTTTTAAAGTATTACTATTTAAGGAATATGCAGAAAAGGGAGAGAGAGAAAAAGAAAAGTTGAGAAGTGAGGAAAGGAGGAGAGGAGATCTGCCATTTTCTGGTTTACTTCTCAAATGCCTGGAGCAGCTGGGGCTGAGCCAGTGGCTGGGAATTCAATCCAGTTCTCCCATGTAGGTGAGCCATCACCTGCCACCTGTAGGGTACATGATACCAGGAAGCTGGAAGCAGGACTGAAGCCAGAGCCAGCACTTGAACTCAGGCACTCCTCCCATGCAGTCTGTGGGAACCCCAAGGGGCATTCTAACTGCAGTGCGACATACCTGCCCCGGCAGTTCAAGTTTTAAGTGACTCTGCGGTGTGATAAAATAAGTATCAACAGAAAGATGGCTGCTGTGTCAGGCGAAGGGTGAAGCCTTACACCCTGGAGCTAAGGAGAGAGGAGCATCCTTCACACACAGTGCGGTGCCCTCCTCAGGCCTGAGGCTCTGAAAGCTGTGACTGATCACATGTGTGTGCGCATGTGTGTGAGTCCCCACCGGTAAGGTATCCTGGAGAGGCTCCTGTGTAGTCCCCATTCCCCAACACACACACACACACACACACACACACACACACACACACACTTTAGGAGAGAAACCTATTCATCCTGCGCCTCTATCTGGAAGTCTAATGGGAAACCAAAGGTGAATGAGGCATCTCAGGTGGTCTCCACGGCAACAGATCCAGCACAGGAGAACTCAGAAGGTTTTGGACAATCATGTCATAGGTCAGAAAAACAAAAAAAGACTGGAAGGAAAGTTCCCACCCTGCTCACTGGAGCAGCCCAGGAGGACGGGTGTGATGGTCAGGGGCCCACACCAGGCTCTGTGTGGTCACCGCTGCTCCGCCCTCCCGGTGGGTCACAGCAGAAGTCTGCCCTGGTCTCCTGGTCTCCCCCTCACCCTTCCCCATTCACCAGGCAGCATCCAGAGCACACCAGGTCAAATGCAGTCAGACCAAACAGCTCCTTTTTGCCCACACTCAAGGTCCTGACAAGGGCGATGGGGCGTGCACTCTGACCTCCACAGCCCCTCTGCCTTCCTCCTCACCCCCTCCCTCCTTCTCCTCTGCCATGCCATTCTGATTGCACTAACATGCTCCAGCCACAGGGCCTTTGCATTGGCTAATCCCTCTGACATGAACGTTCTTGCCTCAGGCGACACACGGGCAAACACCCTTCCTCCTGCTCGTCTTGGCACAGACCACAACCTGAAGGAGATCCCTGCCCTAGGTCTCCCTGGCCCTGTCTCCCTGAGGCTTTGCTTTGCCCACAGCACCCAGGACGGCCTGCCTCATGATAATTAGCTCCTATGGTCCACCTGTACACATAGCAGGTCCCAAGAAACATCTAGAATAATTTCAAAATATCCACTTGGGAGAATGAGAGAATAATTTGAGAGGCAAACTTGCCTGGAAAGGAAGATAAGAAGAGAGAGCGAGAGAGAAAAGTCCACAATGGCACCCCGATCCACTGATTTCCACCCTGCTGGACATGACCCGGCAGGCAAGAGACAACACAGGGTGCATTTGCAATGTGAATGAATGTGAACGATCCCACAACACTGCTTCCGTGTCCACCCCAGGGGACCCAAGGCAGGTCTGACCTTCGGGCACCTGCACTCACAGCAGCCCCGCTGCCAGCGATGTGTCGATGGATAAACAGCGTGGTGCGTGCCAACAAGGGAACACCACTCAGCCTTTAGAAAGCCAAGGAATTGCGATACATACTCCACATAATGAGAGAAGGCAGTCACAGAAAGATAAACATCATATGAGATGTGTAGGCAGCCAGACTCCCAGAGAGAAAGGATGGGGAGGACCAGCACAGGCTAGGCGTGGGCAATGGGCAAGTGCAATTGAATGAGCTGGGACTTCAGATCCACAAATTGAACTGAACTGTGTGTCTAGGAAGGGTTAAGATGGTACAGTTTATGAGTCTGCACCTTGTATCACAATGCCCAACGTTTTACACACTTAGCCCATGCCAGTCAATGCCAAGTAATCATCAGACACCCATCCCTGTGTCTCTTCCCTATGGTCCTCTTCCAAGGCAGGCGCTATTATTTGCTTTTTACAGGGAGGAACAGGAGGCCCTGGGCAACTAAGACCAAGGCCACTGTCCGAGGAATCAGGTGTTGAAAGCTGTGCTTGGGTCTGTCACCATGTCGCTCCTGTGTTTCTCTGGTGGAGCCCACACCCTGGAGGGGTCCACCAGGTCAGTGAGTTTCAGAGGCCAATCCATCCCCAGGCTACGCCAAGCACCTCTGGGGTAGGCGCAGCTGCCATTCCTATTCTCTGCTCCCCTCCAAAGAGAACTCATGGCCTCTGGCCCGTGCTGGGATTCCTACCTTGTCCTTAGCCCACACTACTCTTTTGGCCCCATGTTCCAGCTGGATAATAAGATCTGCTGCGACTTCCTGGGGTCCCACTCTCACGACCCCAACAACAGCCTTCATGAGAAAGTCAGGACCCCTGTATCCATTTCATCAGTCAGAAAACTGATGCTTGCAGAAGCACATGAATGACAAGTGGCAACCTCTGCCCCCCCAACCCCCTCAGGCCTGCATGACATCACACAGCAAGAGCCTCTCGTTTTCACTAAGGGGCTTTGAGGTCTGCCTCATGCTTTCCTGATCTATTCACCTATGGTGGGATATGTGGCTACATGGCTGGCTTGGCTTCCCCATGCTTATGTGCTGGGGACAGCCAGGAGGGTCCAGGCTTGCCTGGATGAAGCCCGGAGCACCGGTGCTGCCCCTTGGGACTCTGGCTATTCATTCAGGACTCCGTCAGTAGGCCTCTGCTCCCACCCGTGTGCCACCTGACCATGCGTGATAGGCTTACTTCATTAGAGGAAGCCCCACCAGGGCAGTGGCTTTTATGACATTTTCTGATGTGTCCCACAGCAGCATGTGGCAGAAAAGTGCTCAGTTCCTGGAGGCCAAATGAATGAATGAATGAATGGATGAACGGGCACCTTTCTACAGCAGGGGAAGAGTCTGCTCTGAAGGATGGCACAGCTTTAGACAAAGCAAGGTGCTCACTGCAGGCAGACTGCACAGCTGAGCACCTATCGGGCAAACTCCCACAGGGTCCAGGGGGCCAAGGATACAGAGCTGGCTACGAGCAGAAACGAAGCAATGAGTATACAAATCTGCTCCGAGTTTAACCCCAGAGGTGCAGAGGCGGAGATGTGTGACATGAGGAATCTGGAATGCAAGTCTCAGGGGAAGCTAAGACCCGAGGAATGAGGAGGACTCTGCCTGGGGAAGGATGGCATGGGTCCCTGGGAGGGGGTTTGGCTGGGTTTTGAGCAAGCTACTCATCGCCCTCTGTCTCCAGTTAGCCCCCACTTTGGTACCTGAGGGGGCTGCAGCGGCTACCTGACTGTGCTCCCCCGCCTTCTGAGAGGCGGAGGGGGGGGCCCAGCATTAGCGTTTTTCCTGGGTGCTGGGAGCAGGCGTGGTCCAGGAAGGCGTGTGGCAAGGCCCTGAGGAGGGGAGCTGCCTGGAACACGGGGTCAGAGCTGTGGGCGGGCACAGGTGCAAGATCTTCCATTCTGCCCTGAAGGTTTTGGCTGTTCACCCAGAGAAAATGAGAAGTTACAAGCAGAGCTTCAGAAACTGGTTCAGTTGGATGAGTCCAGCTGTGGCCAAGTGGAAGGGGAACTGGACCCTCCTACCTCCAACCCCCTTCTGCAGCTGTAACACACTCAAGGCAGCAGGGCCTCCTACCTGCAGCTGCCATCTACAATAGCCGTGTGTGTCCACCAAGCACACTGGCCATCAGAGAACATTTCTTGGGTCCCCTATCTCCAGCCTTTGTGGCCTGGGATGCAGGACAGGGAGTGGGGAAGGATTTCAGGTTTAGGGAATTTTCTCCAACTGCGGTGGGAGCCTCACGCTGAGCTAGGGCAACACAGTTAACTGTGTCTATCCAGCCACTCCCAGGGCCCGAGACCAGCCACAGTACAGGGCCCCCTGTGGCTGCCACCACCCTGCGACAGCCTGGTACACAGGCATCAGATGGGGAAATCGAGGCACGGGCCGGGACATCACTCACCCAGGCCCACAAAGCTGGGGTCTAAGTCTACCCGTGTCGGCTGCTGCAACTGAGGCTGAAATGCAGACTGGGCCGTGGGCATTCTGGGCAAGGGGCCCTGGCCTCGGTGCCTGGAATCCGGCCACTCCATCCTCACCCTCTCAGGTCCCTCCACAGGGAGCAGGCTATCCACTATCCATAGTGGCTTTAAAGAAACCCTACTTGCTAATGCCTATGGTGAATGGGCTCTCCCCGCCACACGCTCCCCACCGACTCTGGGCTCGGCTTTGTCACGTGCGAAGCACCCTGCCAGCCCTATCCACACTCCGAGGAACCAGGGTCCCTGTTGGAACTGGGGCCAGAGAGGTGGGGGCACACTGTCAAGGTCACCCAGCTAGGAAGGGGGAGGACTTGCAGCCTGCTCCCCAGGCTCCAAGGCTGGCTTGGGGCTGCTCCTACCCCTGTGCAGGGATGAGGCTCTTGGGTTATGGCAATCTTCCAGCTCCTCCAACCCCAAAGGTTGGGTCTCCAGCCCTCTTCACTTACATCCCCCAGGGAAACTACTTAAGGGTCTCTGCTGTCTGTCCAGGGCTCCTTCTTCAGATGGAAGGATGTACTCATCTATTTCCCTTAAAAATTCAGTACTTAAACAGGGGTATACAGTAGGTGCCCAATAACTGCAGGGGCCTTCCCAAATTGAAAGGGGTTACCTATTTTGGGCTGTGTTTTCAGGCAGTGCAGTCCACCCAGCACCACTCCTCACTCCCTCCCTGGGTGACCAGCACCAGGCAGGGCAGGACACCACCAAGCCAACTCCGAGCTTGGAACTGGGTCACGCTCGGGCGTTAGTCAGCCACATGCTGTTCCTCTTCTCCTTCCTGCCATCGTGCGTGGGGAGACCACGGCTTCTCCTCCGGGCTGTTTCCCAGCTGTAAGATCCAGTCAGACACAGTGGTCCCCGGTCCTCCGCCTTGCTGTAACCACGGCACCAGGGAAGCCCCCCGCCCCCCACGTGGGTGTCCTGAGGTTGCCCGCGTGACCTCGGCAGTGACCCCGCGTGACCAAGGCAGTGACCCCTCTCCTGCCCCCGCTCCTCCTTCAGCCGCTCTCACTCATCAAAGGGGCGTCCCGGAGCGACACTATAGGAACGCGACCTCTGTCAGCACTTCCGGCTCTGAACACCGAACCCCTAGGCTGCCCTGACCCAGAGGGCGCACCACTTCCTGGTGGGGGACGGGGAATGGGGGTCCGAGGGGCGCGGCCGGGGCGGAGAGCAAAGGGCCCGGGCGGGCAGGGGTCCACCGGCGGCAGGGCCTGGCCGTCCCTTGCCCGCGTCCCCTTACCTGAGGCGGCAGCGGCGGCGGCGGCAGCGCGGGCTCCTCCCGTCCGCCCCGCCCCGGCCCAGGCGCGCCCCGCCGCCCGCCGGCTCCGGCCGGTCCTGCGCAGCCTGTCCCGGGCGCTCGGCGGAGCGGACGTGCGTCGGGAACGCGGCGCGGGGCCTTCCGGGCTCGGGCTGCCGGCACCGGGGTGGACGGCGCGAGATCTGCCTGCCCTCCCGGAGCAGCGGTCACGCAGACCCGACCGTGTGCGAACTTGCGGGCGGAAATCTGCGAAACCCCATCCTGCAAAGCCACGGGACCAGCCACGGGAGCCGTCTTCCGGCCTGTGGAGACAGAGCTTTGAAAGTTAAAGATGACTGGGCCCACATCTCCCTGACTCTGTTTCTGTCCAGTCTCAGGATCTTTGCCCTGAAGGGTCCCGTGGCTGGGACCCTGCCCCCAGACCACCCTAGCCACCGCGCACTATCTGCCTCCTACTTTCCCTTTCCTCCCTACTGGAGCCAGGGCGCGTCCAGACTTTGAAACGCTTCCTCTGCTAAGCACCTGCTTCTGTGTGTGCTAACCTAACAGCTGTGGAAGCACCCACCAGCCTCCCAGCCCCGTAACTAGTTTAATTACAATGTTTATCGCTCTACCATTCTTTTGTGCCATTTTCTGTCTGCCCACTCTAGTCTACTTTCCCTACTAGAATGTAAACATCCAAGGCTAACCCTCACCCCGCACAGTGAAGCCCCCCACCGCTGCTTTGTCTTGGACATGTGCCTGGCACTTGATCGATGCCCAGGATTACTCAGTGAACAGATGGTTGGGTCTTTTTCCCTGAACTTCCATCACACCCATTCTACAGGAGGGCAAAGAGAGGCTCAGGTTAGAAGTCACAGGGCTAAGGAGGACCAGTGAGTGGGAAATGTCCTGGGTTGAGGAAAGGGGTGGGTCAGAGACCAGTGTTCAGCTTGGGGTCCTTGAGACTCACACACCTTGTTGAAAGTCCTGGGCCTGGCTCGCCTCAGCTCCCCAATAGCGAATCAGGACCAAGAAGTGCAAGGTCCTTTTCCTCCAGGGGAGTGTTCCTGTGAGGGCCAGATGGCCATAAGGAATCTTAGCTGAGCAGGTGGATCTGGTCATGATAGGAAAATAACCTTATAGAAGCAAATCCAACAGAACACCTGCAGCCCGTCCTCCTCCTCTCCTTTTTCTTCTTCTTCTTCTTTTTTTTTTTTAAAGATTTATTTATTTTTATTGGAAAGTTAGAGTTACAGAGAGGAGAGATGGAGAGAGAGAGAGATCTTCCATCTGCTTGTTGACTCCCCACATGGCCTCAATGGCTGGAACTGAGTCAATCCAAAACCAAGAGCCTTGTCTGGGTCTCTCACACGGGTGCAGGATCCCAAGGCTTTGAGCCACCCTTTATTGCTTTGCCAGGCCATGAGTAGGGAGCTGGGTGGGAAGTGGAGCAGCCAGGACATGAACTGGGACCCGTATGGGATCCTGGTGCGTGCAAGACAAGGACTTTAACCACTAGGTTACCATGCCAGGCCTACAGCCTGTTTTTCTTCCCTTGCCTACAGCCTGTTTTTCTTCCCTCAGTGTCTGGTGGCCTTGTGGGACCAGGCACCACCCTGTGAACCCACATACCCCTGGACACTGGACCCCATCACAGCCTTGCCCACTGCCCACCTTGAGCCCTCATCTTCCCCACTGTCCATAGAAGCTAGACCTGCAGTTGAGGCTAGAGCAGGAAAGGTGGAGAAGGACGTGTACTCGTGCTGTAGCTTTGCTATAGAACGTTGAAGAATGTGTTCTCATGTGTGCAGTCGGTGTACTCCTGTCTCCCACAGCCCTCAGGGGTTATCAGGAAGATTCAGAGACCTTTCCACGGAGTCTGGCATGCAGGGCATAGAATAAAAACGAAGTGCTGCTCTACTTCTAATTACATGGAGTTTTTAAAAGTTTGTTTTCATTTATTTTAAAGGCAGAGTGGCAGAACGAAAGATCTTCCACCTACCAGTTTACCCTTGAAATGCCCACAACATCTGGAGGTGGGCCAGGCAGAAGGCAGGAGTTGGGAATTGCGAATTGCAGGTGAGTCTCCTGTGAGGGGCAGGAATCCTGGCCCTGGAGCCATCACCTGCTGGGCAGATGGTGCAGCATGAGCCAGATGGTGGTCCTGGGTGATCCCAGGGCACACAGCAGCAGCAGGAAACTGGATTGGAAGTGTAGGTGGGACTCCAACCCAGAATCTGCAGGATGGGATAAAGGTGTCTCAGGTGGCAGTTTAACGTGTTGTGCCACAATACTCATCCCAAAGGAATATTTGGGGGAGTTTGGTCGGAAAGGGCAGCCTTCTCATTACAGCTGACCTGTTCCTTCAGGGTGGAGGGAGTGGGGTTCTAGTGCTAGAGCATCTAGCAAGGGAGAGAGCAGCTGTTCTTTCGGCAGCTAGTGATTGCACTTCCATTCCTGCCGGGGCCTGGGGAGAGGCGAGGTGGGTAACAAACAGGCACCTGTCATCCAGCAGGCAGTGAATGAGGTGCCGCAAGGAAAATGCAAGTCCGGGGAGTGGTCAGCGAGCACCTGCTGATGACCTTGAGGTAAGAGGAAGCCAGCAGGTCCTGGCGTCAGAGCACCCTAGGATGGCCTGGCAGGTGCAGAGGTATTGAGAGGAAGTTGTCATGGGGGTGATGGGGCTAGACTTTAAGGAGCTTAAAACTGCACATGCTTGGATTTAGGGGTTGGCAAGGAAAGATACATGATCATATTTGAATTTCAGGTAATTAAGACCTTTTTAAATTTTTATTATTTATTTATTTACTTTATCGGAAAGTCAGATGTACAAAGAAGAGAGACAGAGAGGAAGATCTTCCACCTGTTGATTTACTGCCCAAGTGACTGCAACAGCCAGAGCTCCTGCAGGAGCCAGGAGCCAGGAGTCTCTTCCAGGTCTCCCATGCAGGTGCAGGGTCCCAAGGCTTTGGGCCGTCCTTGACTGCTTTCCCAGGCCACAAGCAGGGAGCTGGATGGGAAGGAGGACTGCTGGGACATGAGCAGGCATCCATATGGGATCCTGGCATGCACAAGGTGAAGATTTTAGCCTCTAGGTTCCTGTGCCGGACCCATTAAGACCTTTTTAAAGTGTGTCCCAACGTTACATGGTACTTGCTTATACCAAATGATTACTCATTATGTAGTTGAAATGCTGATAGAAATTGACCATTTGCTATTTTACTTGGTGATCCTACTCGGGCCCTGCTTGTAGAGATTTCTTTTTTTTTTTTTAAAGGTTTATTTTTATTTGAAAGGCAGTTCTCTAGAGAGAAGGAGAGACAGAAAGAGGTTTTCTAATCCTCTCATCACTCCCCAGCGGACCACAGCAACTGGATCTGAGCCGTGGGAAGCCAGGTGTCAGGAGCTACTTCTGGGTCTCCCACATGGATTTGAGCCATTTTCTGCTGCTTTCCCAAGCCATAAGCAGGGAGCTGGATGGGAAGTGGAGTAGCTAGGCCTCAAACTGGTGCCCATGTGGGATGCTGAGGCTGCAAGCAAAGGGCTAGCCTACTGAGCCACGATGCTGGCCTTGCCACTAGAGATTCTGATTCCATTGGTCCTCAGTCAGGCCGGGCATAGGACACAGCCCACCGGGTGGTCTAATGTGTGTCCAGAGCTCAATTGATGCTGAGCTCTGGTCAGGGCAAAGACTGGAGGGTCAAAGAGGGTTTGGGATACCCAATGATGTGATTTCAGTTTTTAAAAGGGTTCCTTGGACTACCGTGGGTGGGACAAAGGGACCAGAGCCAACAGAGTGCCCAGGACAGGGCCCTGTATCAGTTGAGTACCTACTCTGAGCTAGTGCAATGGTTTACACATGGCTTGTACCATGTGCTTATAAGTTTCATGTGCTTCGGTTTGTCCCCCAAGGGAGCAGTGGGAGCTCAAAGAGCTGGGCCCAGTTGGGTGTGACCAGGTCCTCGATGACTTAAAGACTGCCCTTTTAGATCTCACAGGAGTGGATCAGCCTCCTGCACGAGGCTGCTGGGCCTCCCCCTGCTCTCTAGCTCTTCACTCACCATGTGACCCCTCTCCCAGATACACTCCACCATGTGATGCCATCTGCCATGGAGTGTGGCTGGCACCTATGCCAGTGTATTCTCGGGCTTCTGGAGATGTGAGTTGCATCAACTTCTCTTCTTGGTGCAGCACCCGATCTCAGGTACTTTGTTCTAGCAACACGGAATGGACTGAGACTGCGAGGCACAGTAGAAAGGCGATGATGGAGGGAGAATCGTTGAGTCCTGCCCCCAGACCTAGCCAGTGCAGAGTCCCTCACAGGTGTGGAGCTGGGATGTTTGTGTTTTGCACGAGCTCCCCTCGTGATTTGGGTTTGGAACAGCTGAGTTAGGGCCTGCAGTTCTCCCAGGAAATGTAGGAACAACTGTGGATACTGTGTAGGGAGTGTTGTCCCGGTGAGCAGCTCTATGAGTATTGTCCAAGTACGTTCTATCATTGAATCCTGTGCACCTTATGCTAACACGAGCCCTGTTCCCCAGAGGACAGACTGAGGCTCAGAAATGGTGACCAACGAGGCTGGGTTCACAGAGCTACCGGGTGGCAGAACCAAAGATTAAAGCAAGGCAGGGTTGTAGGCCTAAAGAGCCACACAGGGTCAAAGAAAGGAGGATGAGATATAGGTAATGGGTCCCTGGTGGGAGAAGCTGATTTTGTCATATCCCATTGCCATTTGTTCCTCTAGACCCCAAGTGAGGCCCAGCCTGGTGCCTGTTGGAAGAACACAGATTCTGGGTGTGATGGCATGGGAGGCAGTCCCATGTCTTCTGCACTGTGGTCTCTTTAGGCCGTTGTGTTTAACTTGAGCATGATCCAAAG